CAGGCAAACATTGAAAGGATGCACGGTTCAGTAGTTAAGTATAAATAATATAGTCGGGATTACGAAACAACTATATATATATATATATTTACATATAAAACGGATATCTAATTTATTTTCCACATCACGCAACTTTTTAAAATTATTTGTTTCATATGTATACACTTATTTTAGCCCCCAAGTGGGTCAGCGTTAAGTCTGTCGCTTATAACACTAAACATTGGGTTTCGATACTCATGATGGAAGGACTTAGGTAAGCGTTAACTTGTACACAAAAAAGTGTTAAATTAAAATTACCAAATATGATAGTAATGGTAATAAAACATAATAATTAATCACTTAGACAATCTCATAATTTCCACATTCACTTCTTGTTTAACTTATAGAACAATGACTTCTAAAACAAAAATTTCAACTACTTAACGAACCTACTAGTAGACTTTAAATTGTGTTGTGTTCTCAGGCAAACAAATGATTAAATCCAAGTGTTGTTGTAGTGTGAGAGATGGTTTCATCTTGACTACGACTATCCTGATGATGAACAGCTTTCAAAGTGGAATTTTACAGAATGTCTAGAAATTACGACAAAAAATCCAGCTAAGTATCACAAGAAAAAAAGAATGCAAAATTACCTGATATTGTATTTGTTATTCTATGAGAATCAATTTTCTGTATAAAACTACACATGAAGTACTAAAAACATAACATATCGGGCTACAGTCCCCAAAAATCCATTAAAATTGTTGATAAAAATTGTCAGTAACCAGTATATTAAAATAGTACCCATATTATTAAAGTTACTAATATACAATATAATTTTGATGTTGTCTTAAGTTGTTAGAAATGAACAACCGTATTTCTGAAGAATTTTGATTGCATTGATATTAATTTGATCATACAATTGTTAGTCTTCTGCAATTTCAAGGAAGATTTGCTTCAATGGAAGGCTACAGTGAAAATTTCCTAATCATCGCTACATAAGAAAGAAGTCATAAAACTGTTAACAAAAATAGAAGGATGGAATTTACTTAGAAAAGACAGTTTCTATAGTTGGAAGTTTTCCATGAGATATATTATATTGAGGAGACAGGTGTATTGGATGAGCATGGAGGATAGCTGGCGAGATTTATTCTAGTTTTGAAAAGAATGAATATAAAGTTGAAGGGAGCTTTAACTTACAATTTTCAAAATCACTAGACAATGGGAAAATACTTGATGATTGGAATTTTTCTAATGTAATTTAGGATTATGCTTAAAAAAGGGTTCTGCAAGGACAATTGATACTGCAGGTCTTTTTGTCTAACTTTTGTTGTCAGCAAGATGTTAATCTATTGCTATAGATCACTTATAAAACATCGTGAAGATTTGTGGTTAGTATATGCTACTCTACGTGTAAAAAAAATGGGGTATTCAAATCCATTAATCTTTTAAGAGAATGCAATAGTACATACTGTGTGTGTTAGTAACTGTTAGATATATTTTGATAGGATATAGCAGATTAATTAGTACATTACACTCTTGTGAAATTTGAGGAACAATAAAAAATAACACTCTTAATGATCTATTTTGGGTCCTTTGCCGTTGATTATCTAAATTTACGTGGAGTGGGTAAGAATTTTGAATTTATTTGAAATTGTCAGGAGTTTCAATAAACGGATTGTGAAAGTCTAAACGTCACATTTTTCCAAGTATCTATGGAGCTTCGTGTTCATTGATCAGCTGAACTTGTATCACGTAGATCTCCAGTATTCTTGGCGAATTTGTTGTTAGAAGTATGACGAAAAATCAAACAACTAGACCTGAAAAATATTTTGATGTTGAATAACACAAGTTTGCTACAACTTGCTCTATTATATTACTTGTAGCCACTGTCCAGCAAAATATTTTATTGAAATATGATTAACTTTAGTATTCTTTATTTATCTGATAGGCAAACCAATCGAAAATTTTATACTTAAGAAATAGTTAAAACAACAACGCCTATGAGCTTAATTCGGCTGATACTCAAACATAAACTTAAAATACAACTTGATGCAAATAAAACTTATGTTCTATATGTGCGCCGGAGCAATATTTTGTCACAGTAACTGTAGAGCTTTTTAAGCTTTAACTTGCGCCTCAAAATTGTTTCTAGGTAAATATATATATATATATACTTATAGTAGTATGTATGACTGAGTATAACAATTCATAATATATTACGTGTAATCTGCAAATGTACATACTTATAGCTATCAAACCTATATAAAAGCCAGTGTGTGTCGTCTAATTTCTCGAAATAGGAGGAATCATAAAAGCCAAAATGCATTTATCCAGATAGAATAGTTCGATTACTGTCTGCCCATTACGATTTTTGTGACGTGGATGCAAGGGTGCCGTGAAACCTTGAACGTCTAGTATGTTGGTATAATAAGCCTAAAGTTAAGACGTATAGTGTGGGACCACATTGCTATGACCCAAGTACATACAATTTATCATGAAAGTAAAAAATATCGATTCAATTTGAAACTTACATCGTTTCTGAATTAAGCTATTCTGTTATAACACCAACGTTTTTTAGAAAAAAAAAAACTTCTTCAATCTATGGAGATTAAATTGAGAAATCAATAAATATTTTTCCACATTTGTTGTTTATACAAACTAACAATATTACATTATACTTTTGTTGCTAAGCAACATGATACAAAAACCAGTGTCAACAAAACGCACTGGCTTTTCTATATATTAGAAATTGTTAATCAAACTTATTTTTAATTTCTGTAGTCCATATTGCTGTATAGAAGACATATTAATACTGGAAATAAACGACCTTGTAACACCAAAATGTTTTTATCTAATTAGACACTCAACGTTTCGCTTTGCAGCTTCAGAAGCGTTCACTGAAACACAAACCGAAACTGACAGTACGAAGTTTCAAAATGTTGAAGCTTTGTGCTGCCAGTTTCGGTTTAAGTGAACACTCCTGAAGAAGCTGTAAAGCGAAACGTCGTATATTTAAAGAAATACAACATTTTAGTGTTAAAAGGTCGTTTATTTCTAGTATTAAACTGATTTTTACCAATTATTGTTCTATAAATACGCCACGAATTAATTTCAAGAATGATCTTAATTTTGATTGGCTCACAAAAAGGAATTTACCCACGCTTAACTGCTTCGAGTACACTTTCCTGTCTCTCTGTTGGTGAAGCTTGATTTTGCAAAATTTATTTATTTCAGTTAGCAAGGAAATGTGAAATTAGAGTATACTATGGGGTGGGGGTGGTATTACTTACCCCGTCATTTTTGACGGACTATATGTTAGTATAAGTGCCAGTGAGCACCTATTTTTGCGAATTATAAAGAAGTGCTTGCAAATGACTGATACTTTCAATAAATTGTGATAAAATTAGCACAAAAATTCAATTTCAGAGCACCAACGTTTCAAAATTTTCCTCGTGGGTATGCCCATACCCCCCCCCCCCCCAATAATGGCATGCTTTGCATATTATTGCGAGTTGCACGACCAATCCAAAAATGCTCCCTCCACCCCTGTTCTAGGCATGTTTGGGCATACGTGCCTAGTTAATCGGCATTGTAATTATTATTAGGCTTGCTTTGAAAAACAAACACACTTAAAACATGAACAAAATCAACTATTGTTAAATTTACACACAGAACTGTACAATGTGTTCGTAAATTTAGTATTAAGCCTCAAAATGCGAGTTTTAGATTTTGTAGCATGGTCACCAAAGCAAATGGAAACACATTTAAAGCAGTTTTATTTAATTTATCTATTTAACGTATTATGAAGCTCAAATATATAGAAGTTGAACAAATTTTTAGTTTCACGTTCTACATATTAAAACAATTAGAACGATTACATATATTCATAATGCCCAAATAAATGTATTGAACTATAGATTAGAAACAAACATCTGAACCAACAAATATGTGACAACACTATTCATAACGCACATATTTCAGGTGACAATATGCTGAAAAATGGAAATTTATTACTTAAAAAAAAAATGAATATGAAATGATAATTGTGCATTTACAAAGATTGCCATATTGCTTTTATGCTTATGATTTCAAACTTTGTACGTACTGCATCCTTAGGAATATAAGTTTCCACATTAATTGTTCAGAAATACATCCAGTAAAATTCACTGGATGTAATCGAAAGGTCCCACACTGTCGATGTTCAAGAACTACATTGAAACACAAGTGTGTTGATTATAAAGAATGAACTCCGAGGAAGACATTTAAATATTTATTAAATTGTAAAATTACAAACATTTTTATACTTTCAACCTTGTAAGCTGACGAAAGTTGCATGATAATCGCTGTATAACCGAAAATGTACATTTTCTTTTTGTGTGGTGTCAACAGTGGTCACATGGCAACTACAACTGTGGGCTTTCAACGTTTAACTAATTCTTGGTACTGAAATATTGCATGTATGGCTTTAATAATCCAAATTAGTATTTGTTTTTTTTAACACATCGTTTTAAGTAACTACGCCGAGGAACTAAACTTAGAAAATGCTGTTGACAGCAGTAAATGATAAATTATCCACCTACACCTCCTCTGTGCTGTGGCCCAGTGACAAGAAATAATTCTTGCTGTAGCAACACTACTGTGCTTTACTCTAGTGTCAAAATATAAGCACAAATTTTAATAATCAAAATATAATAACCTACTTCAACCAGACAATTTGAAAACCCTGAAGTATGCCAGTTATTTTTACATCATTTCTTAATTCTTTTATAGTTATTGTCCCCTTTCACAGTTTAATAATTAATTTGAAGCAACAATAAATATTCATTCACAAATCATTGAAGCGAAATAGTCTTTAAGGTATATATTAATATTATCCTGAAAATACTGTCATATATACACCAATAGAAAAGAATATGTCAATCTGGAATTTTTATATATCAATCACTTAAAGTGCATTATTCTACTTACAGCACATGACACATCCATTGTAATAAAATAGTAAAGCACAGAGAGACAAATCTAATGGAACCATTTTATTACACCTTTCCTGCATGAAATGCGGTGGCTAGAACACAATACAAAAGGGACCAAGGACTAATACATCATGAGCAAGTTATGAAGAAACACTGTATGAACAAACAATTACTTTCTTTTACAGTTGGCAGAAAATGTTGTTTTTTTCACATTTCATTCATGAAATCAAACTATTATTTTATTTTAAAACCAATGACTTGAAGTTTTATATGAAAAAACTCACGGTATTGTTACTTATAGTAATTAGAAGTCTCAACTAATTCAGTTAAAAATTCTATACCTGACACCTACCCCTCAATGAAACAAGACAGGAGCATTTAACAGATTAACTCTAAAAATGAAACAAACAGTTTAAAAAAAGGAGATCTGTGATTACTTATAAGAAATAGTTATAATAATGAAAACAACAAAAAATACATGTTCCAAAAAATCAATCTTACAGTGTGATACATCATCTCATTAACACACTAACACAACACTCTCAACATACACACCAGGTAAATTGTAAAAGGGATTCTTCTAACTAAGTCTGAGGGGTAAGTACATCAAAATTGTTTGTATGAACTAGGGAGTTTCTTTATAATGTAACACTGCTTACCGATGATGGTATTGGGGGAGCAAATGATCTTAAAACTGTATACTCCAATGTCTCAAGTGAATAAAAATGATTCTAATACAGGTGCTGTCTACTTCAGTTAAGTGAAAATTCAAACACTAATCAAAGACAAAAACTTTAAAATACACAGCTCAACACACCTCACACTTTAAGGGACATAAGAACCCTTTCTTATGAAGAGAAGTAAACATTGACAGAACAGCCAAATTATTTCAAGGTGTATTCTTTTCCTGTTGAATTTTTTGAATGAAAAATAAAAACCAATAACAAAACATGCAAACAGCGCAACACTTTGCACATTATTTTACATGAAAGTCAACCTTGATTGAAATTCAATCACTGGCTGAAGAATAGGTAGCAGATGAGCATGTACAAGTTACAGATCGTAACACCTTTGCTTGCTCAGAGACCAAAAAATAAACCAGATGATGTTTTGTCATAGTTCTGTGAAATTTAAGCCTGCACCAAGTCATGAGAATTTTAGTCTAGAGTCATGTAACAATCTGCCCATCTGTTGTTCTTGCTATACCTTGAACAATTAAAACCCACAGTCTATCGAATTGCTCCCCCCAAAGTGGCCATGACAACCACTATAATGTTTATGCATCATCTTCATCTTCATCCGCCTCTTCGTCAGCTCCATCTTCATCACCTTCCTCATCAAAATCATCACCCTCTCCTTCTGGACCCACCTCTTCATCCTCATCATCTTCTTCACCTCCTTCTTCATACTTCTCCTCAGATTCCCCATTTTCTTTTTCTGAATAAAGTGGCCATAGTTTAAACAAGAACTTTTAACAGAGAAAATACAACATATGCTGAAAGAGCTGAAAAGCACCTATGAAACATTCAGTTTTCTAAAATAATATCCAACCAAGGATAAATAACTTGCTTTAAAAAAATCTTTTAATTACAGTACCAGAGAATTTCAATAAGAAATAAAATTACACAAACCCTAATAACTTCATGACTGCTATGTAATATATATATATATATATATAGCTATGCAAGTTTACTGTGGGAAGAATGTCTCTGAAGTTACAAGTTAGAAAACTAAACAGAAAAAATAAATAAAAAAATTCTCAAACAATAACTACTGTGATACTTTAGCAAGAGCTTATAATATTTTCTTATAAAAATTAAAATGAAATGTCCAATAAAACTCAAACAACAGAAAAAAAAGTCATACCTTTGTGGTCAGTCTGTAAAAAAAAAGAAATAAGAAAAATCATTACACATTTGCAGATGATTTCACTATGCAAATATAAATCATAGTAACAGAAATGTGTGTTCAGTTTTTGTGTCTTTCTTACATACTTCAGTCTTGTTTTGTAAAACAAATTTATAAAGTATGAATTACAATTAAGAAATAAAAAATTTAAACTCAAGCAACCACTAATTTCAGATTCTTTTTAAATAAAGCTTTTTTCGTACCTTTTATAACAACACATTAAAATACAGAATTAGAAATAAACAGCTTTCATCTCAACAAGATATTTAAGAATACAGTGAACCTTTCAATATCACTTCAAGGCATTTTACTAAACAAATAGTGTGTGCTCTTATCACAAAATGGTTGTTAAAGTGGCATTTTACAAACAGTCTTTCCTCTTGTGAATTCATTTATACATTGTAATATTCAATATTTCATCCACCAGTACATTGTTTTTTCAATGTTAACATATGTTACATACAACTTTTTCTACTGAAAATGATTTTTTCCTAGTTGATAACATTTGTTTTCAATTTAGTAATATATCTAACAAACCACATAGGGCTTGAAACAGTCTGTAACAAAAACTCACCTTTAACACTTTTTGTTTCACTTCGTCATCCTCGGCACTGTTAAGCTGCATTTCAAAAAAAAATTAATAAAATCAATGACAATGTAAATAAGGACAGTGAAGAACAGAAATGTGTATTTTTATTTATTAAAGTCTTACTGTTTTTTACATCTAGAATGTGTTGTATATAGATCCAATCACATGCAAGTAGGACTACTTTTAACAGAAAAGTTCAATGAATCCTTCATGTTATATATAAATTTATTGCAATACTGAAAAAAAAAAAAATGATAAATTTTTGTAACTAAACATGTCAGCCTATGTTTAAACTAAATTTGATTTTTAAAAATTCAAGTTATATACATATCTCATTATATATATGATTGAGTGGTTAAAATATATTAGGATATTCTTCAAATCCATGACTATCTTCTTACTTCGAATAAAAAGTAAATTATTTATCAATTTTACAAAGAAAATGTGCCGTGTTAGTTCTCATACAACGTGTGAGGCTATTTTAATGTCTTCTGCTAATAAAGATCTAAACATTATTTAGAGGAAGAGTATAATAACTTAATTACCAAACTTGTGTTTTTCAAAGTTATCACTAAAATCAAATTCATTTTATGTGATGAGGCCTATTCACCACTAATGAATTATTTTGAACATACATCAGTGTGTATTACAAAAACTGGCTTAGCAATTACATACATATGTATAAAATCTGCAGAACCAGCTTTGAAATATGTTTTTATTTACATGGATAACAATGCCCTTCAGTCTATGGCTTTTCTTATAGTATTAGATGTACAGGAAGCCACCAGTCTTGTACTCTTAATATTAACTTGTGACCCTGGGATATAAGTAGTAACGACTGGTATACAAACACACATACATCTATATATTTATATGTAACCACTGTTCTGAGAGTTAAAAATGTAAAAAAAAGACATCAACATTTTTTTATGAATCTTTGTATTTGTTGAATCCAATCTAGAACTGAAACTTTCCAAAGCTTGCAATATGTCCATAGTAATTTTTATTATTACAAGATTCAAAGGAATTTATAGTTATCCAATTATATTGTGTGTTAGGCAGATTTCTCTTACAGATGTTTAGATGTAAAAAGTAATTATGCTGAACCTACTGAATAACCTTACCTTAATCAACAGTAAGTTTATATGTTTCAGAATTGTCTTTTTTTTTTATGTAGTGGAGAAAAAGGCATTGTTTGGTGACCTATAGCTAAATGAATTTCAATTTTAAAATGGTGTGCATAAACTTTATTTTTAGGCTTATTTTTGTAATATATATATATATATATATATATACACATGTATCCCTGTAAGCACTGGCAGTTTTTTTATTTATAATTAAAACTGAACAGTTATGTATTATTAAATGTTTTTAAAATCTAACCTCTACATGATTTTTTCAATAACTGATTAACCCAGGTACATTATCTTGTCGGAAACCATCACATTTTACCAAGCTGAACAATAGTTACTTGATATCTGCTAGTATCACCCACAAATGTATGACACCTTGGTGTGTTTTTGCATGTTCATTAATGTTTATAAAAAATTAACAATTAAAAATAATCATGATCTATACCTAGGGAAAATTTTAAAGTCCCCATGTTTGCATATCTTTCAAAGCATATAGTTTTTCAAATATCAGAAATGTTTGCTGGTCTGTCTGGCTTTACAGTTAGCAAACAACCAATCAGGTGATATCATTTGTGACACCAGGTGGCCTTATGGACAATTACTTCATGTATCTTTTGCTCTCAGTTATCCTTGCCTCTATCACTGTTAGTACCATTCACTACTTGATGTTGCTCAAACTAATCCTTCCTCTTACACCACTCCCTAGTATCATGCCAAACATGACAGCTTGCTCAAGCATAGAAGTCAGTCAGCCCTAGCAATGTGACCAAAATACTTCAAAGTTGGTATCTTAATCTGACAAATCAGTGTACACTTAAAACTGAGCTACTCCAAAACCAAACTGTTTATGTTTTACTGCAGGAAATTTTACCTCATTATCATCAAAACATCATCCATCTCAAGAGCCTCAGTTCACCTGATATATGTTGCTTTCAAGGGTCCGAATTGTATGGTTATCTTGATATTTCCAATCCTTCAATTAACATACATTCTTTGAAAAGCTAACCTTAGCTATCCCATTCTACCTTCTGGTCTCAGTACCACTTTCTGGAACCAGCATTGACCATCCTACATTTATTGTAGATGTATTGCTCACGTTTTCTATTTTATAGGTTAGATTGGTCACAGATAAGATACACATACTAAAAACAGCGATCAAACCTCTTACTGGTATCATAAGTAGTTACAGACAAGAGTTTTCCTTTAAACATCTCTTAAAAAATGGTTATGAAAAAAGGTTACCCTAAATAGGTATGCTGATTTCGTTTATCTGACAGCTCCACTAATAACCGATGAAAAATGGAAATAAACATTGATGCAATGTGATATAGTCCTGTGAACTCTTTTGTCAAATATATACTATTCACTGCATAATCTTTCAATACCTATTAGCATAAGCATTTTTTTAAATATTGTAATACGTTCGTAAGCATTTGGAATATTTCCTAATACTAGCACACACCATATCTTCTATTCGTCTAATGGCTAAGCCCTACTCCTGAGTATCTAACCTTTCCCAAAACGGTATAACGAACGCCAGGCACAATTGCTATAGTCTAATAATACAGAGTTAACTCGATAAACCCGTGCGCACGCAAAGGTAAAGTCATCCCCATGACAACAAGATTAGTCGGCCATACAAGATTCTGAGATGAACAGATGCGCCACACAAAAGCAAACCTCACACCAGGTGCTCATCAATGTAGCTTCCTACGTTCACCAATCAGCGTAAGCCACGTTCTTATTCTTGCAACTTAGCCTCTTCCCCAACACACACATGACTATTATTCACCAATGCGGATCTTTCTAGCCAATAAACCGATGGCGGTGTTACCAATGCAGTCAGTGCTCAAGGTGAAACGGAAGGTCATGTACGGGTAGGCATGTTGCACCAGCTTTCCTGTTCCACCGATCTATACCAAATATGGACTCTCGCCGTCAAAATGCAGTTCTGCTAAAGCTCATAATGTATTCCTAAACTAAAATTAATTGAATCGATGTTAAGAACGAGCAATACTAATGAAAATTTGTTACGCTATTCTACGATATTTAGAGAAAGAGGGGAAATACCTCGGAAACATTATGAAAAGAGATTCTCAAAGCTATATAAAATTTTCACTTATAATAAAATATAATCTGAGCTAATATATAAACGAGAACATCTTTTACAAAACCGTAAACCTAGCTTTTCCATTTCGTTGTTCTAAGAAGACCCTAGAAATCCCAAAACCATGGAAACAACACAGTAGTATATCTTCCTATATAATGCAGATTAGTTCAATAAAATGCCGGAAGACTACTACGTTCATACGTCTATGCTTGTCTAAAACACAGACCATACAAACACTAAGAGTGCCCAAACCTTTCTGACCCGTCAGAACAACAACCGTTCATGCTAACTACTAGCAGTACAGCTACATACACAGAAGATCCAATCAGATCGCACCAGCAGCTTGGTAACGACAATGTCGTAACGCAAAATATTATACATTTTAAAGAATGTGCAAGTTCCACCTTCTACAATGATCCTATAATAACTTTGTTGATAACTATCAGTCTTACCTATTAATATAGTTTAAATTTCAGTGTACTTTTGAAATAGCACACGTGTATACGAGTTTATAAATTTGCACTGTTATCAGCATTCGACGTGTAGGAAAAACGTTCTAAAGCGCAAGTTAAATAAAATATACAAATAAAATAAAACGACAGTCCACAAATTACAGAATTTGAAAACATTTTAAATACAAGACTGAGATAGAAAGACTCATCGCTTAATCCATACATGTTTTTAACAAGTTTTGGTTTCTCTTTCCGATCCTCCTTGTGAGTGTAATTTAAATGATAAATGAATCTGAACATCTGACACAGATTTATTTTTCCGCTTTATACAATTCGTAACGAAAAATTAAATGCCTTTGGGCAGAGCGATTAAGTTAGTGACATAGAATATTACCGAGAGACTGCTCAAACAACGTAACTATTATGTTTACAATTTATCGCAAAGCGCAGAAAGTAATTACATGAAATGTTGGCAATGTTAGTGTGATAATAAACACATGAACTCCCAAGGCCTCGAAAAAAAAACAAAAACAGGTTCAATTTATAGTCAATCAAAACGTCTATGATAGGTAAGATATTGTGAATCATAGAGACATCAAGTGGATCCTTTACACTCTCAATTATTCACTCAATACAACATTTTATAACAGCAACAATTTCTTTTCACGTCCTTTAAAAGTTTTTGTACTTCGTCAATTATTTATCAAGTTTGGTTTCACGTATAATTAATTCGTTAAAGTTATTTTCTATTTTCAGAATACACGGCTATACCAACTTAACTGACATTTGATTATGTGATGTGTTTGTTCATACCGCTGAGAAAAGAAATACAAAATTAATGATTATGACTCTTAAGCCTACACATCATTATAATGTCTTACTCGAAATCTCTCCAAACTGATTATCACAATAATAAACTACTTGCTATAAAATAAAAATTATCTTATTCCAATGAAAATGGTCTCTTTGTCAAATTCTTAAAAAGAGGTTTTAATAATGGTTTATATGTTTATAAATGTAACGGTCTGACTGAAAATTAACTAGCATTGCAAATATGTTTTTCGTCAATTAAAAAAGCCAAAACTGTAAAACTATATCCTGAACAGAAACGTAGGCATAAGTTTATTCTGTATATTACTAATTTCACGGCATACTGACATGGGACTATTTGGTCATTTAAGGCTGTCCCACCAATCGTCGTTGAAAGATAAAAGAAACTGTCTTTACAGTAAAAGTGGAAAGTTATGCATCTAGGTTAGCATAATCTGGTTCAGAAGTATGATATAGATAACCCACTTAGTAGCATGACTGACGGAAAAGATTTTGGCATGGTGGTGGATAGCCCACTGGTGCCATTACAACAGTGTTCTTTCACTACTAGTAGAACTAATAACATTTTAGTATGTTTATATATATATATATATATATACTGATTAAAAGTCAAAAGCCTCTCTAAACAAATCACCAATTAGGCCTCAGTTAGAATACTATGCAGTTTTGTTCTCCTTGTCTGACAAAAGATATTGACTTACTGGAAAGTCTTGAAGAGAGCTCACTATGATGATTCCTGAAATGGAAGGGTTATCTTACACCAACAGGTTAAGATCTCTTTCTTTATTTTCTCTTGAGAAAAGATGTGTAAATAGTGGTCTTATTGAAGTTTAAAAGATTACTGGTTTCTTTGTACTATATTTTGTACACAATAGGACGAGAAAACAAGTAGCATTTCGAGAAGATAAGCTAGGCTCTAGCTAAAACACTTTAATTTTTCTAACAGGGTGACTAATATAAACTTAGTTACCGTCGTCAGTAGTGGAAACCAGCAATCAACAGGAGTTTAAGATGGGAATCGATGATTTGTTGAAAATAAAGTGTGTGTGTGTGTGTGAAAAGTCTGCCTTTGAAGAACCAAGTGGCTCCTTATTGTTCGTACAATGTTATGTAATAAAGTCTAGCCTGTCTCTTCTACATCATAATCGTCTCTCCTTTCGACTGTCTTCAAAAAATCTCATGAACTTGTACAAGATCACTTCTTATGCATCTTTTCTCAAGAGAAAACAAGTTGAGAGATCTTAATTTAACATACCTCTAAGATAACATCTCCGGGATCATTCTAGCAGCCCTCCCCCGAACCTCGTGAAGCCAATAACCTTTCTTAGATAAGGGAGGAAAACTGTACACAGTATTCCAAGTGAGGTATTACGAGTTACTTGTACAGAGCGAATAACCTCTCTTGACTTGTGATCAATATGTATATAAATACATCCCAAAATTCTTTTAGCATCATCATGAACAACAGAAAACTGTTTCAATGGGTCGAGTGACTTATCCACCGCTTTGCCAATATTCATGGTATAAAGAAAATAAGAGATTCAAAAAATTAATTAAACAATAAAAATAAGAAACCCTAGAACCCGAACGTTTTCGAAAACTAGACCTTTGTTCATCAGATAAAAAGTTGCTAATTCTTTTTTTCAGTTTCGGTAATGAGTGGATTCCAATCTATATCAAACACGTGAGTGAAATTATATAATAACCCAAATGCGCTATGTTGCACTTTTTATAATTGGACATTTAACAAATACAGGTCCAATTAACCAATTGATCTAAGTCATTCTATAGTACCTAAACATTTTCAATACTGTCAAATATACTCCATTTTACTGTCATTTATAAACTCTACTAATTTATTTAATTATGCCCATATCAATATCATAAGAGGATAACCGACGTCCACGAGGTATACATGTATTAGCAAAATTGAGTAAAAATTCTCTAAGCAACAATATTGTTGAAATATACCAAAAAACAACTAATACATGTAACAACAACAGAATTTCTTCTTCCATTTTACCACAACCTTGTACAACATCCGCCAGAAACAAAGAAAATTAACAACCAATCAAAGAACAGATGAGTAAATAGCCGCTAAGTTAGAACGCTGTTTAAAACCTGTCTCCACGTAGTCAGTGTAGCGTGCTTCCTTCTCTTTAACCCTACTTTTAACAGTGACCAATACTTAATACGTAATTTAATAACCGTCATTAACAATCAAAACCGATAAAATAATAATTTCATTTAAATCTAAAAACCGTCATCGCCATCAACACTTAATTCCACTAAAATAGCTTCATGTAAAACTATTATAGTAAGTAAAGTTATTACAAATAAAAACTATGATGGAAACTGATTAACGACAGTTTTTACACAATACAATTTAAGGACACCAGAAACAAGCTTTTGAGAAATAAAGAAACTGACTGTCCACAGTATAATTACAATTTCGTGTTACAATGCAAATGCTAAGACATGAAAATCCTTAACAGAAAGAAACCATTGGTACTTTCCACAAAAGTAAACCGAAAAATTACCAATTAAAAAGTACATATCTGAGGTTTCAAACAACTATAAGGCCAGACCTTAGATCTTCCTCCCCGATTTAGTAAAATGTCAATCATCGTTTACGAAATCACTTATGATGGTAATATTCGTAAAAATAAAAACAAGATTTACAAATCCAATTCAGTTTCATATACACAGTGAATAAAAGTTGTATTTTCGTTTAAAATATTCCATTTTCTCGTTACATGATATATAATAATGAAATGACAATAATTTATAGGATTTTTTAAAGTTTTCTTCATGCAGATGCACATATACAGTACAATATATATATACAATATACAGTACAAATGAGATATTTTTAATATAAGTATATATATATATATTTAATACAATTATTAAGGTCACAGTTTTTAAAGGCAAGTTGCTTGGTTGGGTTAATTATGCTAAATGGCTTACTTAGATTTAACCTTTTTTACTTGAAGTTACAACTTTTTATTTTGAATATCTTAAAAATGTTATAATTTATCTGCACTCACAATAACTTGAAAAGCATTTAATTAGAGAAAAACTGCTAATGATAAATATGGACTTTTTATGTAATTTCTAACACTTTATCAATTATTAACATACTCTAATGAAACAGAATCCATATACATGTTCTTAAGTATTCAGTTCTATGTGTTAAAAATGCATATTGGTGTTCACTCTTTCTACTCTGCTGAAATTGAAATAACATCATGTGATATACAAGTGAAACTACCAAATAATATACTTGGTACCTAACAAAGTTCAACCATGTCATTATCAATATTTCCATAGTGTCAAAAAACACTTGCAAGTATAATATGGGGTAACTAGTGATTATTTTCAATTGATGTAACCATCAATGTTTGACAATGGATACAACACTCCAAAAAACAAATCTGAAAAAATAATCAATGACATTTCTAGTTGCTTTGGATAATTATTTATGTCAAATTATTATTACTTGTATACTGTACCTATTTGTTTTTTTTTACATTTCTCATTTATATGCACCATGTTTAACTTTCAAAGCTTAGTGTATCAATATATATGATAGAAATCTGAAGTCATTGAATTTATCTGACATTTTTACAGCAACATTCATTACATTAAAGAGTAATTAAAAATTGAATATTTGGTATACATTAATTAATTCTTTGGTTACAAGTTGTCCTTCAATACTGAAAGTCACTTTCAACTAATTTGCTATCATAACATATACAAAATATTTTTAAACTACACTAAAAAGAACAATGACTATTTATCACATTGATCTGATCCTTCCTTAAATACTTAGTGATTTGGGCCATTTGAGAATGCTTAGTTATTCCAATTCTGCTTAATCTCTCAGCAACTTGAATCTGGTTATAACATACTGAAATTGTCAAGTAGTTGCTCAACTATCCTATCTTAAAATTAAAATCATGATACTAAGAGTCAAAACATGGATAAAGCACAATACAATTTACAAGAAATCTGATGACTTAATTTTTCGCAAGAACTTATGCCGTTACACTACAGAAGATAAACCATTAATCTTCAGGAAGGTCAAAGCTTTAATATTTTAAAAAACTTTGAACTTAATTCATTGACAGCGTTAATCCTACTACTTGGAAAGCTACAACAGCCCAACTCATAACACACAAGGTAATAATAATACGCTTGGAAACAAAGCTGAAATTATATATATAGGCGTAGCTATTCACATTTAAATTAAAGTTACCCTACGTTAGCTAGGTTTATGTAAGAATAAAGCCAATACAGTATGAATAATAAAGTTAGTGTTACCTTACGCAAGTTACGGCAGTAACCGTGGCTACTGCCCGCACGCGTCGTGAATTTTGGGGTCTATCGAACTCCAGCTTAAACGTACACTGATAATATTGACTTAAATCATAACTATAAAAATGACATTAAATATTTATTGATACTATTATAAATAAAGTTATATAATATATGTTAATGAAAATCACAATGTCTTAAAAGTATATACGTGAACATTCCTTACAGCTCAATGCGCGCCAAAACGACACACAGCACCAGACGACAAGCGCTGGCGTGAGGCATAAGCATGTAACTGATATATGTACTAGCATGGCCGGCTAGGCCATGACTTAACACACCGGCTAACCGGTTCTTACCTCTGACGCCGTTCTTTTCTGTGGACTTGTTTCAGATTTTAAATCTCCAGCTCCTTTTTCCTTTTCTTGAACATTTTCTTCAACTTTATTTGTGACAACTTCTGCCTTGTTCTCTGTAGAACTCATTGTGATTGTAAAATTTAAGAGCGAGCAATCGACCGACCCTCTTTGTTCAAATTCGTAAAAATGGCGCGTTGTTTCTTACACAAGGACTGAATTAAAAGTGAATTATTAAAAAGTAAAAAAAAAGGAGTAAAAGTATTTAAAAAATAATTTCTTAAATTTTATAATAAATAATAAAAGTATATTTAATACATTTATATTGAATAAAAAATCCTGTGTTTGTAAATGAGCATTTTGAAAAAATATCAACAGCCGCTAGAGGGCAAACGAATATCCACGTCAACTCCCTAAACGATGCCAGGAAAGAAAGAGTTGGGTGCACCAAGTAAATATATTGCTTACATACACAAAACTATTTCACATTAATTTACGAAATTTTGTTATTTAGTTTTTGTGACCATCTCTGTTATGTAAAAAAACATATTAGTATCTTGAGTTTTTTTAGTAAACACTGCATTTTGTGTATATAGCATTGGCTCTAAATGTAAATTAATAATAAAATTATTAAAGCGGCTCTTAGCTCTATATTTTCATTTCGTTTGGATATAAAAGGATTTATTTGTTTGTTTGTTGGATTTCGAACAAAGCTAGGCGAGGGCTATCAGCGCTAGTCGTCCCTAGTTTTGAAGTAATAGACTAGAGGGAAGGCAGCTAGTCAATACTACCCTCCGCAAACTTATGGACTACTCTTCTCAGAATAAATAGTGGGATTTGAACACTCTTATAACGCACCCATTGCTTCGAAATACGAAGACCGATTTATTATTTTTTATGTGACGATAAGAAAGTATGAACCACACACACAATCCGTTATACTAACCACTAAGCCGCGTTCGGCTCACTTAGAGAGATGATGTTTTTTTTTGTACTAAATTGAGAAAAGCTTATTCACCTGTTACAAGAAACAACCATGACTAAGAAAATTGTTATTTAGTGAATATTGTTACGAACCAAAATAAGATCTTAAGATACGGCACACACATTCGTGAAATGTTGTTATCATATTCTCTCTCTCTGTCAACTGCTTATTAATCAAGTCGAGATCAGAGAATTTCAAATAAAAATAAAAGTTGTAAATATGACTTGCTCAATTAAAATTATTTTAAAACTAAGCGTCAACTTATTACTTCAAAACGCTTTATCAGTTTCCAAACGAACTAGTAAGAAACCTTTCTTAGTTGAAAGTACAATCATAAAAAATACGTCTTCAACATACTATAACATATATAACTAATTCACGTAGAACTGACGTTGTTTGTTAAGTAAAATGCTTGCTCCAAGTGTCTATAGTAGAAGCAATAATAATCTTACAAATTGTTTCTCATGATCATAATCTTCTTAAGTTACAATAAAAATATAGTTTTATTTATTGTATTATATTTCAATATTTCATTAAGTATTCCAAAACTAATTGATAATCAAACTCTCATTCGTCAATCAGCTAAACCTTTGAATTACACAGGAAGATAGCACCTGAAAACAATCTGACTTTTATTGTTTGTTTTGTTTTAGTGCAAAGTCACAGAATGATATATCTGTGCTCTGTCCACAACAGGAATCGAGCCCTGGATTTTAGCGTTGTAAGTCGCTAAACTTGCCACCAACCCACTAAAGATGTAACTTTTATAACACTGGTATATTAAAAAGAACACAACAAATACACAGTTATCATGTATGCTTGGATAATTCAAGAACTAAAACAACTTGTTAAAACAATCATAATGCACGTAATTGAATATAAAATTTAACGAGCAATGCCATAATTAACTGTAATCACACTCTATTTACATCATTGAAAGGTTGCCATGTAAAATATTATTAAAATTATTTCTATTTTCGTAATAGGTTACTTGAAATTTCAATGAATTTTGATAAACTCATACACTCTTGACGCTTAGTTGTTGATTTATAAAGATACATGCAGAATATCAAATGATATAGGCACATCTAAATGTAAAAAAAAGTGAAATAACCTCACTAAATTGATCGGTTGATTTTCGATGATAATTTAACCAATTTTAATGAAACTCTGCATGTCGTCGTAAAATGTCGAACCTTTTTTGAGTAATGTTGAATTAGCAACAACATAAGAAGACCACTGGGGCAGTGTTTTAAAAGTTATACAACTTTAGCTAATTAATGACGAGGGCTGCCAAACGTGTAATTTATGTACATGGAAATGATGTACAGATGTTTTAAAATAGCCTTATTTGCAGTATTTAAAATTTCAACGTACGTCTTTAAAGTCTGTGCGAAACCACAATAAAGAAATACATCTTATTAAGTACTGAAAACGTTCATGCCTATAATACACGTATGACTACATTCAGATAAACCTTTTCAAAGCTTAATTAATAGCCATTGCAAATCTACTGCCATAGACAAAGTGAACGCAGAAAGATCAGTCATGCATACGTAAGAACATATATTTTCAACGTACTTCCTGTTATTTAATCTTGACTATTTTTAGAATATTCATTCTAAGAACGCCAGTTTTGCGCAGAATGAATTAAATACACTAAATGTAAACAAAGAAAAATAAAGACACGTATGATTCCATTTTTATTTGAAGCAGTATAATGTAAGCTTTGCAAATCAAGTTACATCCAAAGAATGAAAAACTCGGCGGATGTACTAAAACCCATTGACTTATTATTAATACACGACAGGGATATTTTATTATTCTCTAATCATAGGTATGAAGAGGTGTATTCAAAGCTTATGAAAATACATTGATGTTTACCCATAATCTACAAAACAAAAAAAAAAAAGTACTTTCTGTTATCAGATATTAATAATCTTTGAACACTTGCCAGTCACACAACAGCATTTAAAAATCACATATTAACTCATGAAGAGGGTACATATTTTATATTTTACCAGTTATTAACTTATTATAAATATAAATGCCAATGATAAAGAAAAATCAAGACAAGACACATAATACGGCATTTGCCAGTCACGTGTGATATTCTACTCATATTTATTGTGACACATTACACATTACACAGATCTTTAACATTTTATACATATCAGCATTTTCCCACTTTTATATATTAATAACCGTGAAACCTAAATTAACATACAGGGCTCTGAAAAACATCTACATCACACATTTCTAAAATAATCACACCAAGTTAACAATAAATAAACAAATTGAAAGAAATAATGAGACAAATAATAATAATATATATCGGTTACGGAAAGATGTATCAGTTGTACGTAAAATAGTTGTATATACAAACGGTCGTATGCATATAAAAACTAGACAAATACAAATATGTGCTTACTAAGTTATCAATAATTACCAGACATGGGACGCGTTTACCACTCATTTGTTAATTCTCAACATACATATACCAACAATTATTACAAATTAAGAATTTCCAAATATATATATGTCACCAGAAACATAAGCACATCATAATATCCATGCATATTATTGTTTGCCAATTGCCAGAGATGTATGTAAATTGTCTGTCAAATACGTATGAAGAACTGTTGGATGAACGTTTTACCTAAATTCCCGGACACACATCGACCTTCACCAGACTATCTTAAAGCAGTCCTACAGTGGGACAGCTGTAACTCTTCGGATTTACAACGCTACAATCAGGGGTTCGATTCCACCTCAGTGAACACAGCAGATAGCCAGATGTGGCTTTGCTGTAAGAAAACACACACTATCTTAAAGTAACGTTGAGAATAAAAAATAATTACAACTGTAAATTTATAATAAAAGTCGCATTCGAAAATAATAATAATTATGTTCTGTTTGTACAGAAGTTGCTTTGCAGCCACGTTACAACTGTATAATTATTGAAAGAACGTATGCACAATTTCACTATGAAGAATACTTTCAACTACAAAACTTTAACCATTTTTAACACTAAATTAAGTTAGGTATCAAGGGAAAAATCTATTTTACAAAATACTCTTTAAGATGTGATTTTAAAGTCAAATACCTCTTCATATGTAAATTATATTACAAGTTAGCTTTAGGATTTTTGTTTTGAATCACAAAGCTGCTCAATGGACTATCTGTGGTCTACCCACCGCTTGTTTCGAAACCCAAATTTTGGCCTTGTGAGCCATGAAATTTACCGCTGAGTCACCGAGGGCATTTAGGGTTTCTACCCCACTGATGTGTTTTCCCCTTTTAAACAAATAACTTCGACTTTCACCGAGGCTAACATAATATTGTGTTATTTAATGTTTACTCTAATTCGGATTTGTAAATGACTTAAATAAAATTAGTAATAATTACAACTCACTTGCTTAATCTACTTTACACAATAACAATTGTTGTTCATGCAATCGAAATATGAATAGCATCTCGACCATTAATACTTCTGTTATATTCCAGACGGCCTCTTTGGCACTGAATATGGCAGATATAGTGTGTTATCACATATTATTTTTTGCTTTCATTTATAAATTATTAAAATTAATAATGTAGTTTTCTCCCGTTGTTTGATCTGCTCTGGGAACAAGAACACTAACGTGCTAGATCGCCAGTTTTTCTGAATGATAGTAAAGGTAATTCAAGAAAAATAATAGTAAATAATTGTTATAAATAAATATATAATATTGTGTTTTTAATCCTGACCTTAATTCTGATTTGTAAATAAATTAGTTAAAACTAATAATAATTACAATTCACTTACTTAATCAACTTCACATCATAACAGTTTGTATTCATACAGTCGATGATAAAAAATAGCGCCTTGACCACTAACATGCTTGTCGTTTCCCAAACGGCCTGCTGAACACCGGTATTGAACAAAAAAAAACCCATCAGAACTGGATATAGTAGATATTTTATGGTTGACATATTATTACACGTTCTTTGTTTTTCTTTTAATTACAAGTTCTTAGAATTATACAAAAATTCAAACTTTTATACTTTTCATCTTTCATTAACCACTGCGAACATTTATAACAAGCAGTGCACTGTTCGGCTTGCTTGAAGTATATGTATCACATGATATTTATCCGCAACTGTCCAAACCGGACTGTCTAAAAAACTAATATACGATTAAAATCTCTTGATAGTGGATATATTGCTGAGGAATATATACAGAGAG